TATATATATATAAAAAGAAATGCACTTTTTATCATTAATGGAGGGGCTGGATTCCATAAGGGGATACGCGTGGATTTCGCAAGTATTGTCCGCAGGGCTAATTTTAGACATCGCTCTAATTTCAATTTTGACGACTGATTCTTGTAGAAAATTTCTTAGCGCATCTTTTTTGTGTGCAAATCAAATTTGTATTTTTTTTTGTTTTCAAGTTATAAACAGAAAAAGTAACTTTTTATATAAATGAAAAAATTTCAATAGATTTTTGTGTTCAACTCGCCATATCTCAGCCAAATATCAATATTTTTCTTTGAAATTTTAACAGAATAAACTTCAATATGTTTCTCGAAATATAGAGCATATAAAAAGTTTTCGAAATATTTCACAGCCAAATGCATAATTTTTTAAATTAATCCCTCGAATTCGTAATTTTATTCATTCGATCACAAAAGTTATCGTACGAATTTTCGATTTGTCAACTCTTACCGGTACTATTTACATCTGTAAATACATATTTATTCATACATAAACATTTTTACTTTTTACGTCGCTATCGTTAGCGACAGCCAATGGCAGGATAATCCTAAAAGAAAGCGCGGCTTTCAGTACTGGGGCTCTATTAAGAAACGTATACGAAAAACTAGGAAAATACTATAGTATACTGTAATATTTCCCTAGACTTTCGTATACGTTTCTTTTCAAGAATAGACCTCCTGAAGTGTAAAGCGGGGAGCACAGACTTTTGCATAACGCATAAAGCATGTGCATAAGGAATTTCATTGGCCCATTTTCTTATGCATGAGTCAATGGACCAATCAAATTCTTTATGTATATGGTTTATGCGTTATGCAAAAGTCTATGCTCCCCGCTTTAAGCATAGACTTTTGCATAACGCATAAACCATATACATAAAGAATTTGATTGGTCCATTGACGCATAAGAAAATGGGCCAATGAAATTCCTTATGCGCATGCTTTATGCGTTATGCAAAGTCTGTGCTCCCCGCTTAAACGTGAAAAGTAAAAAAATGGCTCGTTTGCAGACGAACTATGAAATCCACCAATCTTCTGTTAGTCAGCCATTTTTAGTACCACTGAATGAATATCATGATTGGCTGACAGTCAACTAATCAGAATGCGGCACACCGGTTGCGCTTCTCTGATATCTAGGACTCTAATTGCACCCTGAGATCACTGGGATCATGGAGTGGTCCCTCTCATATTTTTCTCTATTGTGGCTAAACTGTTTTATAAACTTCCATTTTAGGTTAATTTACTTGATTATAGTGACTTGATGTTTGTAATTTTTGAAGACCAATTGCGAGATTGATGTAATCAATGCACTAACAATGACATCGCTTTTAAAGACAATCAATGGGTTTCAACTTTTTCACAAATGCTTGAAACAAAGGTATGTCGCGTTTAGTTGTTTTGTAATATTTTTTCTGTGTGGGCGCAGAATATCTGGAGACACGGTAGTGTCTCGACGTTATTTTATTTCGCACATGTGCGGATTAATACTTAAATATAAGTGTATCTAATGTTAAAATTTCATATTCCTGAAATTTTTAAATATGTATGATATAATTCTGGTAAATTTTTTTATATAAATAAGCGGATATATGATTTAGAAATGTAACCCTTTAATGATTTTCTTAAAATTTCATTTTTAGTTTATAAGTCTTGCGATAAAATATAATGATTTTAAAACTTTTATATTTACAAATTGCAAAATACAAGTACAAAATAATTAAAATATACAAACTAAAAGTGCAAGATATATAAATAGTTGTATTTGATAAATATAAAATTGAAGAGCCAGAGATAATATTTTATTAATATATATTCATACATATATTTATATAGAGTATCCTTATACAATAAATACACACATATATTTATATCAAAGGATAAAAGCGATAATGGTTTCATTTTTTTAAACTTATTGTTTTAAAGTCATTAATGCAGTCTATTAAAGTAAAAATCTCTGTTTCTCAAAATGAAATCATAGTTAAGTGATATACTACTATATGGTTTTTATTTATATATATATATCATATATATCTTTGTAATGAAATTTATATTTTCATAAACTTACAGTATCAATATATCTGTCCCAAAACGAGAAAAATATATACCTAAACCTAGATATCGTCATCCAGAATGGCTTCCTAAACCAAACCGTATTGTATGTAACTAGTGTATAAATAATTTATTCTTTTCTTGATATCATACTTAAATATGAGAATATTTATAAATATATACATAGCACACAAAAATACATATAAACACTTTTATTGTAGTTGTATGATGAACAACTAACAAAAGATAATAAGCAGTTTCTTGACGAAGTGGTTCAAAACAAATATGGTTCATCTACTATTCAACTTGAAACAAAACTTTCGCCTTTGAAAATAGATCCAATTGAACCTACTGTACAGTGGGAGCAAGGTCTAAAACGTACTGGTTTAATCGCTAAGAAAATAGGAGTGTATCCATTATGGTTAAAAAATGGAAAAAAGATCAGCTCGACATTACTTCAGGTAAATAGAACAGCTTTTATCACAAGCACCATCTCAGCTATCATTTTAATTTCTTATTTTACATACATACATATATATATATATATATATATATAACTAAATTTTATATTTTAATTTAGATTGTTGATAATGAAGTTATAAAATACATACCACCGGAGAAATTTTTTCCAGTAAAAAGTAAAAAACCTCCAATACAAATAAAAAATAGACGCGGATGTCTTGTAGTAGGAGCAGAAAATATAGATCCGCAATTAGTATGTAATTAAAAAAACTATATGCGATAAATTTCCTTATATTATGTGAAATTGACAATATCTTTTTGACTTTTGTATAGATTACTAAAGAATATTACAATGTTTTTAATCATGCTGGAGTTATGCCAAAACGTGTATTAAGAAGATTCATAGTATCTCCAGAAGCAGCGTTGCAACCAGGAACTCCTTTATTTGCTACACATTTTAAACCAGGAGAAATTGTTGACATTCGTGGAAAAACGTAAATAATTTTATATTTTGTCATATGTATTATCATATGTATTATTTTACAAAAAGAAAAAATGAAATAACCATATAAATTAATTATTTATGGAAAATTGAAACATGTGAATTTCTCTAGAATTGACCGTGGATTTCAAGGTGTCATGAAACGATGGGGCTTTAAAGGGATGCCTGCCTCTCATGGCGTAACCAAAACTCACAGAAGACCTGGAAACATTGGATCAGGTGGCGAGAAAGGCCGAGTCATGCCTGGCACTAAAATGCCTGGACACATGGGTAATAGATGGCGTATTAATAGAGGTGTTCGGGTAAGTAAATTATATTTTTCTAATTAAAGAAATATATTTAAAAAATGTTATTTATATCCCAAAATTTTAGATTTATGTATTTTGTTACTTTAGAAGTTCATTTAATACTCATTTCTTTTGATAATGTGGTTTATGCTTTGCAGATTTTACGAATAAATACCAAATATAATGTAATTTGGGTTCTGGGACAAAATGTACCTGGTGAAGTTAATACTTATTGTTATATATATGATACATTGCTTCCTTTGAGGCAACCTACAACAGCGCCACATTTTCCTACATATTTACCAAGTATCACAGAGGAATCACTTCCAGAAGAATTGTTTGCAGATGATATACATTCATTTGCAGATCCCACAATAGAATTTAAAGAAGAATCTTAATTATATATATCTATATAACGTTAAATAAAAAAATGTGTAATTGCAAAATACATTTTACAGAGTTTACATTTTTTTTTTTCAAACAATAGTTACATAATAACTAAGAATTAATACAGAGACACATTTGACTTCTACTCCACGCTGATCAAATCAAAATAAAATTATTGAATGATGGTTGAAGTTGTACCGAATTTCCGTTGAAATTTTATTGGTTGTCTGCTCCTTACAGAAATATCCATACTTATCAATTATACTAGCAAAGAGTAGTCAATTGATTCATTTATTTAGTAATCAATATCATTATAAATTTAACATGCCTAAAATATACACGAATTATTTTATAAAAGTAATATTGCTAACCAAGACTCGTCCTGAGTTAGAGTGGAGAGCAGCATGATCAAGCACGATAGAAAGATCCTTTTTTTTCCATTAACTTAACACCTTATCGTGAAGTTATTCGACTTCTAGAATAATTTACTCAAGTTATGTAGTTAGCTGCGCTCAGCTAAAGACTGCTAATACGCGGTTATCATATATTATAAAAGAAAAAAGATAAACATACATGATAAGAAAAGGGAAAGAAAAAAAAATCAAACTTCAATGCTCAATTTGGTGGTTATCAACTCCTTCATTCCATAACTAGCTTTCTTCCTTTGCTTCATTCTAGTTTTCCGAATACGGAAAAGTCGTTAAATCAATCACACTGTAATGTTTGTAAGAACAAACACAATAATTCAATAATTGATTCAATAGTAGTAAATTGATATTGCTATGCTTTCATTGGAATAAGGAAATGTAGAAATAGGAAAGAGAAAGCAAGATGGCTCCGCGTTGGAGTTTGTCAGGGGACGGCACGATCGGATAAGAAATTGAGACCCTCAGAATTTAAAACCTTCACTCGGAATACTCGTCGTCTGATCAAAATCAAAAGTTCCTTCGTGCGATGCCAATGGTGCATCATCAGCCTAAAAATCAATAAAATAATTATATAAAATTCATGTTAACGTTATTAAGAGCTATAATGCCTTACCTCTTCTGAAAAGTATTGCTCGATAATATCATATGCTAATTTGTAAATATCTACATTTTCATGATTTTGTAATGCCTCAATCTTATCCAAACCTTTAAATAACAAAAATAATAAACATACATACATATTTTTGTCTTATTAAATTTTTTATATTTCATTTTTATGTAAGAAAATGTAAAAAAGTAAATTTATTGAAATAATAAAGCATATTTACCAGCACATTCCTCAATCATATTAGCCAAATGTTCAACTTGTGATCCAGCGAGTTTAAGCATATTATGAATTCCGTCCAATACCACCTGTACAACTTGAGTATCTTTACAAGACAAAAGATCACAAAAAGGACCAATTACACCCTCTTGTATAAGTCGTGCAACTTGATCTCTATTACCACTTATTGTAAGGTTACTAATGGCCCATGCTGCTTCCTTTTGTGTTTGAAACTCACCCTATAAAAACAAAATAGCATTGTACACATAACAATATGTAGTTGTAGTAATAACACTTCATTCATATAATACTGTACATTTACCTTGGCTAGATTACGAATAATAAGTGGTAACAGTCCTGCATCTATAACTGCTTGAACTTGGGATTGATTACCGGCAGTAATATTAGAAAGAAACCAGACCGCTTCTTTACAAATTTTCTCTTTTGGATGAGTCAATAAATTTGGAAAATGCGAAAGTGCGTCACAATTTAAAACAGTTTGTGTTTGCTCATCCGTACCAGTCACAATATTGCCGACTGCTCTGAGGGCAGCAGTCTGCACTTTGACTTCTTTGTGCGAAAGAAGTGGTATTAAACGGGGTACAACACCACTGTCTATAACCATTTGAATCTGCTGGTTACCACCGTCAGTTAAATAACTCAAGGCCCATACAGTATCAACAAGAATCTAAAAAATTGATCTTAGAGAATTATAACAACTTTTATATCAGCTAAAAATGAAGTAATTCAATTTAAAAGTGCAACGGAAAAATAGTTCTATGAAATAAATCATAATTTTTGCAATTTTTTTCAGATATTAACTAGCTACATTATAATTAAATTATTGGTAATAAAAAAAGTTTATATTATAGAATCTTTCTTATAAATAAAAATATTTTTATTTCTTTATGTTTATATAATCATAATACTTACATTAACATCACTATGATGAATAAGCATATTTAGAGCAGGTAAAATCTCATTTATAGTTTGAACTGGCGGTGGTGGATCTTTATTCCTACATAAGTTTACAATAACCCATGTTACATTACGTAGAAATGTAATAGGTATATCTGGTTTAATAAATGTTAGCAGTGGTTTCACAACACCAAGTTTAATGACATAGTCTCTAGGTGCTGGACCATCTCCAATAATGTTACCTATAATAAATAGAAATACATATAACATGTTTATATATTAGTATATATAAATTCCTTTATTACAATATTTATTATAATAGATTTTATCACACAGTTAAGAATTGATAATATATTTTTAAAAAACGTACATACATAACTAGTCCTTTTTTCTAATTATATATCATACCTAAGGCCCATACTGCTTGTTCACATACGTTCTGTTGACTTGAAAGCAATAAATGTAAGAACAGTGGTACGGCACCAGCAGCAACTACAGCTTGTGTTTGGGCCGATGTTCCACTTGCAATATTTGTTAAAGCCCAGGCTGCTTCAAATTGCAATGATGGGCTAGAATATTACATTAATAAGATAATTCTATAAACGTTCTACAGTCATAGATAGCTTTATATATATAATATACTCTCACAAAAAATTTGTCTTACTTGTTATGTTGTTCAAGACAGCGAACTAAGATTGGTAAAATACCACTATCTATCAATGGATCAATGGGTGGATTACGATCTGATGATAATAATTTCCTTGCTGATTGTACAGCTTGTAATTGTATTGTTGGATCTAAGCTACCTGCCTTTGCTACCAATTCTTCCAAATTGATTTTTGAAAGCTGTTTATCAATGTCATCTTCATCTACTTGAAAAAATAATATATATTAATATTGTAACATTCCAATTTTATATTGTTTACTTTATATTGTTCACATTAAAATTGCATAAAAGTTGAGATGTTTCATATTACCTGTTGAATCTGTAATAGGTACATTTCTTCTTTTTTGTAAAGTTTCTTCTCGTTTATTTTTACGTAATTCTACTGTCACTTCATTACGTCTTCTTCTCATTTCCTATAAATATTAAATTTAAGTTATACAATTGTAACACATATCAGTTTTTAAAAAGTGGCTAATTTAACTCATTAGAGCTCTTAACATGATTTTAAAATACTAAAGCATCAAAAATAAAATTATAACACTAAAATAATAGGTATATATATATATATATATTCTATATATTCTTATTTATTAATCAGTTTTAAAAAGTTTTACAATGTAATATATGCCAATTGTAAGAGTTATATGAATGTTTCTACTCTTTTAAATTATGTGGCTATAATATTTAAATCTTGATATATCATAATAATATACATTTTATTATATAATTGTTATAAAATTTCATTACTGAAATGAATAAAAATCAAGTGTGAAAAATCTGGGTTTGAATCCTGGCTGATATTTTTCATAATGAGTTCTTTACTTTTAAAATATTAGTAGCATTAAATCAAAGATCTAATTTATGAGTCAATTCTAAGCAAAATTGTAAGATTCTGTAACTTGTTCTTATAAATCTTGTAAGAACTTATGACTAGTAATCTAATTTTATGTATATGTAAGACATACAATTATTTGTAAATATCTACAAATTCTCATAAATCTTATGGATAATAAGAAGCTGTCTCTAAAGATATAAAGGTACAAGCACTTATAAGTTCTTATAAATCTTACAAGAATGGTATTATAAGCCTTAAGCTTTTACTTAGAATTTAAGCATTAATTTGGAGGAATATTATTATTTCAGTTAGATTATGTTGCAAATCTGAAAGTAATTGACGTACGATCATATACTTGACATGAATTTAATTAAAATATATATAGAGATATATTATATATTAATATCTGACTTCAATCGTACCTGGCGCTTCTCTCACTTAACAAATCAAGTGTTTTTATTTAAATTTATTAATTTAATACAATCAATAAATAATTCACCAACTGTCTACATAATTGAAACATATGGTAAAGATTATAATTGAATGATTCTTACATATAGTTTAATATAAATATGTACGTCAAAAATTTAAATAATCTCAAGATAAGCAAATGTTGAGAATACAAATGTATATAGCTTAATAAAATATTACTATCAAACAATTATGATGCATAATATAACATGACAACTTCAATATAACTATGAAATAGTAAACACTTCAATAAATTTTAAAAGAAATAAGTAGAAAACAAGAGAAAAGACAAAAGATGATAAAATGAGAAAAAATGAGAGAAGAAAAAGGAAGGAAAATAAAGGGATAAAGTGGCAATGTGAGAAATATGGAAGACCGGAAGAAAAAGATAACAGGTACAAAGAGAATAAAAAGGAACAAGAGGAAAACAGATGTGGAAGGAAAAGAGATAGGGAGACATTTGATGAAAAGCGATTAAGAGGAGTAGTTCGCACGTATAAACCTATAAACGCATACACGAGTTCAGAAGAGGGGGGGGAGGGGGAGAATGGCATCGTGCAGAATGGCGATTGTGAGAGCGTTTCGTTGCTCCAGCGAGAACTTTTCATCGCACGGGAAGCTCATTTACTTCCTCGTTGAGAGGCAACAACGATTCACTCACCTCCTGGTCTTTGCCTTTGTTCTTAAACACCATCATTCGGTTCTTGTTCAGCATTGCCTCGGCCGCCATTTTTTCAATAACCAATTTCCGTGCTCGCTTAAATCAATGTGTGCCGGCACGCGGTCGCTCGTTGAACGTTATCGTGAAACGTATATCGCGTCGTCGCGTAAACTCTTAACTGCTCCTAAAAGGCTGGTAGTGCCTACGTTACCTGTTCCGCAATCTATTCCAGTCTACGTCGAGTCACTCGATGCAGTGTACATACATACGTAGATACGCACGTCAATGTGCAGTATCATGCATTAACGTTCGCGTAATAATTAACACCGTCGTATAATACAGCACCGTTCTGAGTGTCTCGTAGCTCCCAAGCTACTCTCAACTATCCCCTTTTTTTTCCCACGATTAAGACCAGGTTCAGCAGGCCGAACGCCGAACAGGAACAGACCACGAATGTTTTCTAGCGTTCCCAAAAGAGCGCGAAAAGACGTCGGCGATTGTCACGAAACAAGAACGACGTGCTCCGAAACGCTACATTTATTGCACACTGCCTAAAGACCTAAACCACATCACTATAATTTACCCAATTGCATTTTACGTGTCTTTATAAGAAAAATGCAATTGAATAATTTTCTTTATGCATACGTTTATGTAGTTATACAAGTTATGTGAATATACTCTATACATTACCAGTGTGACGTATTAAAAATTTACAATATATGTATTTAACTATAGATTTTTAGTCTGACAGTACATATTAAAACAAAACCAAAAGCGGAAAGCACTCTTACCCCGGATCTACAATAGATTTTTAACCTTTAAGACTTTATTATTTAAGACTTTTTAAGACTTTATACCATAAGAAATGGACGAATTACAGTCGAATTCGAAGAGAATAATCAATTGTAATTCGTCCATTTCTTATGACTTAAGGCTTAAAACTCTATACTGGGTCCACAACCTTGCTTTAAGATGCTCTAAGCCATAAAGTTGTAAGAAATTAACCAATCATAGTTGAATGCGAGAAAAATAATAGACTGTAAGGCTAATTCACAACCTCGTTTTAAGAGGCCCTAAACCACAAAAATTGACCAATCATAATCGATTATTCTCCTCATATTCGATTACGATTGGTCAATTTTTATGGCTTACGGTCATTGTAGAATAAGCTTTAGACAATAGATATTTTAAGCCATAAGAAATTGACCAATTACAGTCAAATACGAGGAGAATAATCGACTGTAATTCGTTCATTTCTTATGGCATAAGGTTTAAAAATCTATTGTAGATCCGAACTAATGTAAGGCATAAGAAATTCAATCAATCAAAACTCTTTATTTCAAAGGAAAGGAAGAATAAGAAATTCCAATTTCTAAAAAAACCGTGTATTCCGATGTATTCAATTTTTGATAAGTTGAAACCTGTCATTTCTTATTCCTTCTGTTGTAGACTCTGCATAAAGCCTTCTGTCCACGATACTAGAAATCGGTCCGAGATCTCGGATGAAGGAAAAATTGACCAATTACATTGGTCATGTGACCAAATTGTTCAAATGCGATTTGTTAATTCTTTCTTCATCCGAGATCTTGGACCGATTTCTAGCATCATGGACACAAGGCTTAAGACATGAGAAAATCAACTCTCTCTCTCTCTCTCTCTCTCTCTCTTTCTCTTCTTTCTCTCATCAGAATCCTCTATTTCATTTAAAGAAATATTCATTTTCTTTTGCATTATGTGTTACGTGTTTTGCAAGAATCTTCCCGCTTGAAACTGAGTCTGAAATGAGCTGAGTATTTATACTCACAATCAGATTAATGACATCACTATATCTTGCTTATGGTAAAAAATTATCGTATGACAATAACTATAGAAATTTAACACTAATACGTACTGGCCAATTAATCAATTATTTTCAGTATTAAAAATACTGTTAACAATACTTTTAATACTGGAAATAAGTGATTAATTGGCCAGTATTAGTGTTAAATTTCTATAAGCAGGGAGGTTGATAATCTCACTTTTAAAATGAGTTTACGAGATTCAGTAAAGCATATATATGGTCTCGAAAATAAAATATATAAAGCATTTCTTATCATTTTTGCCAAAAATAAACTACAATAAATTACAATAGTAATTATTAGAATTTGGTGATCATATATATTATTATTTCTTTTCAAGTTATCCACACATAGCAAAACTGTGTTACTTGGATTGCGTTATCATAAATAAAATAGTTATAAATAAGCAATAGGAAACAATATAAACAATAGAAAATAAATGCAATCTTTTATAAAATTCACAGTATATTCTGTAAAAAAAAAATGTAAGAAATTTATTTGTTAATATTTTAAAAATATGTATTATATAATTTTAATTACACATTTATTGAAATTTAAAAGTAAAACAAACACTATATAGATATTCAAATATGGAGCGGAAATTCCTGAAACATAACAGACCAATCAACGTACGACTTTCTCATGTTGTGACTCTTATTTGCTCTTATTAGAAGGTCTCTAGTTGTAGGCATCAGATTGGTCTTTCTTATTAGACCAATGAGAAGTTACCACGATTTAAGCTTTATAGAATGCAGGCGTACTTAGATGATCGTGTAACGTCTGCTAGGATGGCAGGGTTAAAATTAAATTGGGTATTATTCGTAAATTTAACAATATGCGTTGTATTATCTATAGCTGGGTAAGTTAGAACAGTATTTCTTTTCGTAGCATATTTTGTGTGATAGCCTTGTTTGAATAAGTCGTATTAACCTCTCATCTCCTCATCTATCAATTGTCAAATGAAACTTTTGTATCTTACTCAAAAATTTGTACAATACTCTTAAAATTAAACAAAATCTGTAAATATAAATAAATGTAAAATTCTCTAATATCTGTAATTTTATTAATTTTGATGTTGTTAGTTTGTGTTAGAGTTTTTTTTTTTCAATTAAGTAACAATAATGTAAAAATAATGAAGTTTATTAAATTGTAATTATTACATTCTTTCTTTTTTTACAGAAGAGATTTTTATAATATATTAGGATTATCAAATAGTGCTAGTACACATGCAATTAAAAAGGCTTATAGACGATTAGCAAAAGAATTGCATCCCGATAAGAATAAAGATGATCCAGATGCTTCTCAAAAGTTTCAAGATTTGGGAGCAGCTTACGAAGTGCTGTCAGATCCTGAGAGAAGAGAAATATATGACAAATGTGGAGAAGAGTGTTTGAAGAAGGATGGCATGATGAATAGTAATATGGATCCTTTTGCAAGTTTCTTTGGTGACATCAATTTCCATTTTGGTGGAGAATCTCATCAACAACATCAAACTCCTAAAGGTTCAAATGTTGTAATGGATTTGTTTGTTACTTTAGAAGAATTGTATAGTGGAAATTTTATTGAGGTAAAATTGTCTCCTATCTCCTATTATAAATGACAGTATGTAATTTTTTTTCTTTACTGAACTTATTTTGTTACTGCATTTTAGATTACAAGAAATAAGCCAGTTATAAAGACAGTGAAAGGAACAAGAAAGTGTAATTGTAGACAGGAATTAGTTACTCGCAATTTAGGAAATGGTAGATTCCAAATGATGCAACAGTCTGTATGTTCAGAATGTCCAAATGTAAAATTGGTTAACGAGGAACGTATATTGGAAGTAGAAGTTGAACCAGGAATGGTAGATAATCAAGAAACTAAATTTACTGCAGAAGGAGAACCACATATTGATGGAGAACCAGGAGATCTTATAATAAAGTGAGTAAATATTTTTCTGAATTTATATATATATGTGTATTATATATATATGTATATATATATTTACATGTATATATATATATATATACATATAATTAAGACAACGGTTATCTCAAGTACAGGTGATTTAAAATAAATTTTTTATATATATAAAAAAGCTATTTTTTCGGATGTAAAAATTGATCGGACATGCAAACACTTGACTTGAAATTTAGTTTGAGAAATTTTGTTTATTTTTGTTTATTACACCAAGATTAATTGTATTATTGTGTTAATGTAGTTTAACACAACATTATGTTAATGTTGTGTTAATTGTTTTATTGTATGTGATTCTAAAGGTGTAAGTTTTTACCAAATAGCTGAATTTTAATCGAAAATATATATATGTTCAGTTGATTTTTTAAATAACTCAAAAGAATTTATATATATAATGGATTATTTCAATTTTTAGATGTAAATTACTTTAGAGAGTTATCTCCTTTTTTTAGTCTATTTTAATCTATCAAACATAAATTAACACAATAATGTATATTTATAATACAATTGTCTGTTATAGGATACAAACTATACCTCATCCTGTGTTCGAAAGGAAAGGTGATGATTTGTATACAAATGTTACGATATCTTTGCAAGATGCCCTATTAGGTTTCACAGTAGATATAAAACATTTAGATGGTCATATAGTGACTATCCAGAGGGACAAAATTACTAAACATAGTGCCCGAATTCGGAAAAAGGGCGAAGGAATGCCTAATTACGATAATAACAATCTTCATGGTGCTTTGTATGTTACGTTTGATATTGCATTCCCCGATAATGATTTTACGAATGAACAAAAAGAAGGTAAATTAAATGTTCTGTATTATGTGTGGAATTTTATACACTGTATTGTTATACATGTTACAAAAAATGATTTTATTATATTTCAGATATAAAAAAATTATTGCAACAAAGTTCTGTAAATCGAATATACAATGGTATACATGGAAATTGAATATTTAAATGCAGTATATGTACAAAGTGAGTGTAAAGTGAGTGCTTTGATTGGAATGTATGACTTGATATTGTATGTTTGTATTAAGAGCGATACTCTTGCTTCCTTATTAAAGAATACCAAATAGAGTTGGTAAATCCAGTGATCATACTGGACACATACATTTGAGTACATATACAATTTTCTACACAAAATCAATAGCAAATTTATTTTATTTAGATGCGAAAAACTGGTTAAACTAGTTCTTGTCGCCAAGTATTTAAATTAATGTTTGGTTGCTGCCAATTATTTGCCGAACGTTAGCAATAATTAAACAATTTATTTTGTAATTTAAGTTATTTGGTTAAATTATATGAATAATATAGGAGAAATAGATGTGTGTGGATTTTGCATTTAATATGAAATAAAAAAGACCACGTATAAATTATTAAATTATTAATGATTGGCCACGTTTATATTATTATTAATAATGTAAACTTAGCAAATATACTGGCATAAGCACGCGGTGAAATTTCTTTGTAAATGCAAAGAAATTTCGATCATAAACGTCAGTAAGCATATAACGCAGTATAGTATCATAATAAGATTAACGAACATACATTTGTGTAGCCAATTTTTTAATTCAAATATTGTATATCTAAATATTGTATTTTAAGTGGCAGTATCTTCTATATGTAATTTATTATAGTATAACTATAATATATTACAAAATCTTTACAGAGAAATATGTTATTATTTTCCCCCAGACAGAAACAAGAAAGTATAATAAATAAAAAATAAATACACAAGTTATAGACTGTGTTCTAATGTCTTATATAATGTCAGCGTGTAGGCTATTTTTCGTCCATTTTCTAGTATATAGTTTGCAGAAATATGTTAGAAATAATTGCAATGATTAAATGAGTATCACATATGATCTAATAATTAATTTTATTTAATTGCAATCGTGAAAAAATGGTTGAAGAAATACATCCATAAAAAATATTAAAATATCTTTTTTATTTGTATATATAGAGAATTGGCGGATTGGTCACTGATCGCCGTAATATGTAATTTACATATCAAGTTTACAGATATTAAAAGTTCATTAATTTAGTCTTAAGAACTGATGAGACAGTCCGCATGACAAGCATAGGTCATTTTCATACAAAGTAGAATAGATGAAATATATTTTCTTACCGAGTGTAAAGCTGTTTTACTCGACTCACATGAGCAAACAAGCAAGAAGAGAACGAAGAGAAGAGAAATGCGCGCACTAGGAGATACAAAACGAGCGCTTACGCAGTTCTACATCAAGAAAGTAGTCTATCTTGAAAGATAAAATAGTCAATCTTTTATATATATATAGGTAATCTTAAAGTTTAAAATTCTAAAAATATGCTTCTAAAATTTTAAATTAAAATGAAGAATTAATGAAAATACAGTTTAGCACGCAGATAGAATTTTATAATTTCATATTTTATAAGTTTTATTACCATGGAACATTTTGCAAGTTCTATTGATGGCTTCCTTATAATAAAAATATATTTTTTTGCAAGCTGGAAATATCAGGAAACAATTAAATACATTACAAATTTTCTTTGATAATAGAATAGAATGTAATGAAAATGTAAATTGTTCTAGTCATTTATAGAATCGTTTTCTTACCTAATTTCGGTTTTTAAAAACAAAAGAAATTTTTATTAAAAGTTGCCAAATATGTATTAAAAAGCATTTACAGATATCATATATACGTTAAAATTCAATATCTTTTAATTTAAAAATTATTTATTATCTTGTAGAAACGGGTTGAGAAAAGCTCAAGTAAACACTTGCTTCCTTTTTCCTGCTTCAAATATCTCTATTTATTATCTTATTGTTTTGTTATTCAGAATATAATATTAGTATTATTCATAAATCGCTGTAAAATATTTATTTTTAGGATCAAATTTTACCAAAGTAAATTTTACCACAGACTGTTTAGATGTTACATATATTTTAAAGTTTTTTCTTTAATTTTTATCCCTATTATTTTGAAAATATCAGTTTTCTTAACGATTCCATAGTTTACTTTCATTCCCTATACAAACTAATAAAAACTGAGATAAGTATTTATTGCTTGAATCTTTTCAAATAATTGTAACGACCGTTATTACTATCGCCAGGAAGACAGAATATATTTTTTTAATGTCTCGACATCGTATAACAACAAAAACAACTATTTTTATGACTTATAAAAAATCAGTTATATTCTCAAAATATTAACAAATATATATAAATATGTATAAAGCTAGGAATCGCGCGCGTGATAGAGAGCATTTATATAATTATCTTTTTTTAAAATCTGAAAAATCTCGAGCGCAAGATAGACTGCCCCTTAATGTTCGTAAATATCTATTATTGCCTGATTAAATTAATCGAAGAGCTATATGGTAGAATATATGTATAAATAAATATTAAGTTATATAATTATATTCATTATATATAATAAACACGATATTCTTGAGAATATGAACTTGTGCGATGTCACTCGATGCCACTCGTCAAGCTGTTTTATTTGACTGTATACAAAGTGGCCCCGAACATTTTGGCCAGACTAAAATTTTATAGAAAACTTTATTGGATATACTTCTTGTTAATTTACTAATTAAATTTCCTATGAAATCTCGAAATCTGGTTCGGGGCTACTCTGTATATAAAAATATTGTTCATTTCATTCGGAAATAAAATAGCGGCAACATCCTACGAAATTGAATATGAGGTTTATCAAAAAACACCTGACAATTCTTTCGAACTCATAATTAAATCTAATCGAACCGATCTCCACATCCGAGGATCTCTTTTCAGACAAAATACATGTCTAGAGGAAGTTTCGAAGACACTTGAGGACATTTAATCTTCCGTTAGCCATATGGAATTTTGTAACTTTTCATTAATATTCTGGTTTTTTAGTATCAGTGCAGATTTTTATATTGTTTCGAGTTGTATAAAAATCTGAAAAGAAATTCTCACATACTCGACAATTTTAACGAGTTTTTACTATCGTAGAAATGGGATATTCTTATTTTTATAAATTTTTTATCTGTCAGGATTTTCACACACACAATAAAAAAAATTGACTGTACCTTTAAAATTAACTTTCAATTAACTTGTCGGAGAATTTTGTGTAGACTCGCGAAAGCTTAACTATGAATTTTTACTATCATGGAAGTCGCAGATTGCATTTTACTTATCTTTTTAAATATTTAATTAAATTTAAATATATCTCTCTACCAGAATTTTGTTATAATTAAAAAATCTACTATTCCGTCAAAGTCCAAATTGCGGTTAACGGAAGACTAAACACATATATTGTCTGAATGAGTTGTTCCGATTTAAATTATTAGATACAAAAGGTTTAGCACTCGAACAGTCTTTTGGATATGTCGTGCCTAAAGACAGTAACAATACAAACGCATGTTGAATTCATCTACACAGGCACTCTGAGTACCATAAGCGTTCAACCTGCTGACCGACCCAGCCAATTTGCGGCTGTTATCGTCTGCTTTGTAACGAACCGTACCCTCAAAGATCGCGTCACCTGGGGTGGTTTGTATGGTCACTGTGTAATCCATCAGCGTCGCCCCGTCCGTTTTGTCCTGCCACATCTTCGCGTCTTTGATCATCTTCAGATTCAAAGTGGCGCACATCGGATATCTGCTTAACATATCATTCAGTTCTCTGACGAGGAACGACACGCTATCCAGCAAGCTAGTGTCGTTCCACGAGACCGCAGTACTGGTATGGCACATACACCAATGATTCGCGATGTGCGCCATGTCACAGGTACGAATGTCTGGTACTGGCAGGAACCAACTGATGCCACGCGGGACAGGCGAGGCGGCCTGAATTTTAATGCGCTTCTTAAGAAACGACTCGCGCAAAAGTTGTGGATTCAGCAAGTCCATTAACGTTTCATGAAGATCGAAGGGCGTCGTGAGACTGCGACTGTTCCTTCGCAAATTCCCCCAGGCCAGAGGAAATTTCTCGCGCCACCATCTCGGTGGCACGATAAAAACGAAAGGGAGACTATCCTCAATCTTTCCCTGATACGTTTGTCGGAAGTCGCCCCATCTCATACCGTGGTCGCTCATCATGATGAGGACTGTGCGATTCAGCAGACCCTCCCGTGATGCATACTCGACGAACTCGTGGTAGGAGTCGTCACCCAACTGGGGATACGTGAAATAATCGTGGGTGAGACTTGCCTGCCAAATGAAGGCGAAGTAAAGCTCCGAGGAGAACTCAACCGCTGTTTTGCGTGTGTAATCCAACATGCATTCAAATGTCTTCCTGGTACCGAGGCAGAGATTGGCGTTTAGTTTATGGGTGTTGCCGATGTCATTCTCAGCACCGATGAAATATGGTCTCAGATAGTAATCTGTCGGTTGCTCGCGGAATCCTGGTTTCAAGTAATTAAACGTGGTCATGCTATAAGCATCCTCGCCGAATACCGTCCGGTAACCAGCCTCGCTGAATTTCTTCCACAAAAGTGGGCATTCGTCGAAAGTTTTGTTAGGCATTTGCCAACACAGATCCCGTAATTCCTCCTGATTCAGACCACTTAATACCGGGACGAGATTTGGGTATGTGTTATCAGCGACTTTGGTGTAGCCCAACATCTCTACAGCGCCGAGAGACTGAAGCGATTTTACAGTCTTCGGCATCATCCTGTGGAAGTTCATTCTAGAAACCGAGTCGAGTCCGACAATGAGAACGCTGAGACGATCGTCGATCAGCGTATCCATTCTCAGCGTTTGCCTGCATCTTTCCTCTACCGAAGGCTTACGAGGTAGGAAAGCGTAGTAGTCTTTGTATATCATTTCGTTGTTTTGATAACATTCAACTCTTACGAATTCAGCATTTACTGTGCAAGACTCTTGAAAAGGATAGCACTGTATGTCATACCTGTAAAATTTTATTATCTAATTTAAATGTCATTTGCAATATAACAAATATATTTTACAGATAATACATATCATTATACCATCCGTATTTTCTTTTTTTGAGATAATTTTAACTAAGTTGGTATTTTGTTCATACAACTTTTAACTTAAGTAAATTAATTTTACAAGCTATTACTCTCTTTTAACTTAATTTACACACAACTAGTAAAAAAATATATTAACTCATATCCAACCCTGACAATACAATATACATATATATTTATACAATTTTAATTTTTTTATAATACTTACGTAACATCATTGTCTGTATCTTTCGTTCGCCAAAATGGTCGCCAACAGCAATTTATACCGCTTGGACTGTTATGAAATTCATTCCACGTCAGCGGGTTAACGAATAACGCGGTATTGTTCGATTCAATTAATGGTGGAAAATTTCCATACTCGCATTCGAACATATCTTTTGTTATAAAACGTCGGACTGCAGGATCTAAAGGATCCATTGCTGGTAACCGACATCCTTTGTTGCGAACTAGAAAGCCGTTGCCTATTGGCATATACACATTTGACGCTGTCGATACGCATTTCTCTGTAAAATTTTTAAATTGATTATTAAAATAAATACAAAATCATAATTAAAATGAGTATGAAAATATGCGATAATAATTTGAATATAAACAAGATTTCTGGAAAGATTTGTATATTATAAAAGATTTTTTTTATCATTGATATAATTTTTCATGGTTTTTTAATTATCACAGCATTATATGTATATTTTAAAATAAAAGTAATTAAACTTTATTAAAATTTTATTAAAATATAACAATTATTTAAAATTAAATGAAGAAACAAAGTTCTATTTACTTTTTTACCTTTAAAGTTTAATTTTTATTTTTAATCATCCATAATTAAAAAAATATTAATGTGCCAAATATATTTAAGAAAAAAAAAACAATTTTTTTTTAATTAACCAAAAAATATGCTTTTGCATTCTTATTTTTGTTTAACTATTATTCATATTAATTCTTATAGGTACATCATTAGCACTGCTAAAAGTTTATATTGATTTCACAAAAATTTACGGCCATGATATCGTATCTATGCACAAATGATTTCATGTATTTGTGTGATGTTATGGAATTTAATATTTACTTTTTATTTATAAACACATACACTAAACGATCAGTTAATGAATCAGTCTTTAATGTTAATGCAGTTAAGAGAAAAATAAAATATAAAAAAAAAATTTTGTTGAACATAGTTTTTACATATACGTTGTTACATTCATTATCTTGTATTGATATTTTTTGCCGCAACATAAATTTCTAAGTATTTGAATTGCCCTCATATGAAAATAAGTAAATTAATAATAATATGATACTCACGAGTTACTACATCTGGAACAGTTGGTTTGGTCATTTCTCCGAATCGGATAATTCGAAATTGACCTGTATTGTAGCTGTTGATAATAACAAGTGACGTTAATAGAAATAGTAGTAACGCGATTAGCCATCTTCGTAGTCGCAGACCTCCCTTTTGTATTTTAGTTTTGATTAATGCCGTGGTAGAGTCACACTCATCGTCAACAGCTTTTTTGCCGCCGCGAAATAGTGCCTGTATTAAAGAAAGATGAAATACTTTTTATTACATTGCAAATTATATGATTCATATTCATAATTATAAATCGATCCACGATTGATCTTTATGTCAGGCAAACTTCAACCAAGGATTTATTAAATCGTTGTTTGAGAATAGCGTTTCTCAAATAGAAGACTAATTTAAACCTAGGTTAAATCGGATGTCAGGTTAAATCGTGACTATGAATACTGACCTTAAAGTTACACAATTTAATAATGCACATCAAATGATGAATGTGCGTAAAAATGTGTATCAAAAGATTAGCTTAATAAATAATTTCAAAATGCGATAAAATTGACTTCTTTTTATAAGAAACTTAATTTCTTCGTACGGCTATTTATATTCATATCTTCTTTCGAGCGATCAATATTCAAAATCATGAGAAGCTCTCTTTCTCTTTCTTTTTCGTAAATTATTTTAAAAATAAATTAAGAAGATTTGACAAATTGGAAAATTAAAGATATTACGAAATAAAATATTATAATTATAATTTGCTATAGATATTACATAATAATAATAATTAAATAATAATACAATATTATATATAATGTATAATTTGTTGTAGAAATGTACTTATAAAAATGAAATTTTTAATATTTTGCAAATATTAAAAATAATAATTATTTGAAATTAATAAATGTTTAATGCTGATGGAATGAATAAACAAATGTAAGTAATTATATTCAACACGGTGATTTGCGCGCAATTTCTAATTTTATTTATTTAATTTTAATATATTCAACCATGTTCGAATCAATAATGTTCATTATCGTCTGACGAAACAGAAAAAATTAATTATCTGTTAATATTTATTTTTACGGTCAAATTATGTTTGAAATCATAAAGTTTTGAAACTTTAATTTAATTGCAATTCTCTCTCTTCAAATATGGATCTGAAGATCGAGATTCGTTGTAGATGTTACGTTGTTAATTTATACTTAATTCGCCTCGCTAAAGATGAATTGAATGAAGCCGAAATGTTCGTGTCTTCTAGAAATTAATGTAGAAGTGAACATATAGAATTATAAATTGCGCACTAATTACCGCGTTGAATATAATTATTCTCATTTGCTCGCTCATTCCATCAGTATTATTGTTTAAATTTCGAGATATTTCCGATATTTTATTAATTTTTAATAAATGTTTCTTACTCTCATTTTTATTTAAAAATTGAATTTACAAATGATAAATAAGACTAAGATTATGTTATATTTATTAAAGTAAATTTATAAATGTAAAAAAAAAATATCGTTTATAAAAAGTTTAATATCAATTTATTAGAATTATATGGTTATATATTTGATTAAAACGTGAACAATTGATTTATTTAATGTTTATTTTAATAAAAAAAATTTTTTTTATCTTATTTTTTGTTTTTTGTAAAAATTAATTGATAATTTTGACCTACGTGCTTGAAAAAAAATGTTTTGAATAATAAATATAACATAATTTATTCGATTGTGACATACGTAAAGAAGAATACAATTAACAAGACACAATAATTGCTTGCGATGAAGAAAATTATACATAGAACCTATAAATATATCCTATTCATAATTTTTTTATGAGTATCAAGAATATGTTTTTGGAGAGAAAAAAGGAAAAAATTTATTTTACCTCCTCGAGAGAGTGATGATCACGCATAACAGAGCGGTTGCATGCATCAAACACTTTTGTATGTGTAAGATAGAATTGCACAATCAGTATATACATTATGTTCGGTGCTTTTGTTTCTATGATAGCGATAACAGGACACCGATATCACTTTTGGTTTAGACATCTGTCTCGCTAATTGGCCTAAATTAGAACTCGCAGATTAAAATTTAGATTCCGTTTTTCTTCTTCGTTTATAATATAAAAGAAATATATTATTAATTATATCGTTATGCTACATCTTTTTTGCCATCTTTATTGCGTCGAAATTGTTTCACAAAAACGGCAGCTTAGACAATAGAATTAAATTGAGCAGTCTTGGTCCTTCTATTTTCCATCATTCTTTGCAACGATCGAGAGAGTTTCTTTCTTTACGTATATCGTATCTTCCCATAGACACGATTACTCATTGCAAAGCTCATGAACATCTTAATTTGCATTGAAAAGCGCATGAATAAATACTTGGAACGCAGTGCAATATTTATATAAGAATTAGCCCGTAGCACGCACACCAAAATTCAAAATACGCAACATGTCTATTCTGCATTGAGTCAGGTTCTATTCTCTCAATGATTGTCTATCTAAGTGAGCAGAGGATTGGGAAAAAGCGTCTCTCTTTCTTTTTCGTTGTTTCTCTTCTTCTCATTAAACTCATATTTCCTTGACGAAGCCGCGATATGTCCGTATGGTCCATGAATTTCGTAGTGACGATTACGAAAGATTATGAACAATTTTGAGATTTGGAGCGCGATTATTTCACTGTGCGGTCTAATCCTCTCGTTGACATTTCGCGGTTAATTTAATGGCCGTCACACGGACCTGGAAGACTTCTAGAACGTTGATTGCGAAGCATCTGCTGCTATTTTGTCGGTATACTTGAATAATATATCGTTACACTCATTTAAGGGGCGTTTCGGTCTAATCGCCACGACTTGTTCCTATTTTTCGATTCCACATATACGTTGAGCGATAACTTTTACACAGGCAGCGAAACTGCTCTTCCGAGATGCTAGTCGACTCTTCTTTATTATTCGAACTAATTTATGTTTGCTTGACACACTGGTTGATCTTAACTTTCTTTCAACTACTCCGCGATTTAATTTAAATTCTCTTATCTATTTGTTTGATCGTCAGTCTATATAAACCGTTTTTTTTTTCTACAGATGTTGAATATTGTCGTATCTTTTCATCGATATGTATAATAAAAAAGTGACTGGTCACAGATAATCTGGATGAGGCCTGTTCGAATTTATTAAACAAATGGAACGGGACCTTTTCCGTAACTATATGCACCGTCTTAAGCTCTTCTCTATAATAATAATAACTAATTGCGGCATATCTATGCGATCTACTGGGTGAAGTCTCAGCATTATCTCTTCTGTCTCTTTTCTGTCCCATTCAGAATTTTGCTCATTTTTTTCTTCCTAGATCTACTTGGTTGTATATTATGTTTAATGACGTATACATTTCCAGAGAAGATGCACCCATCGATTGTATTCCTAAAACATCAACAAAACAGCTACATTAATGTTTCAGACATGCTTTTTCTCTTCCACAATGAAGGATAGAGTTATCCATACAGCACACTTCACTCAAGGGATGTCACAATATCTGTATAGTTATCGTGATGCTATGTGACGTTCCTCGAATAAAATGTGTTGTATGAGTTTTAACATTTCTCAATATATAAATAATCCTTTAATAAAATAATTAAAATCTTTTGTTTACAAACTTTTAAATTAAATCAGAATAAATTGTTTTTTAACAAAAATCATAATATATAGATAAATAATAAAATCTGATACTTTTTATTTAATTTTAAATATACATGAGAAGAGAAGATTTTAATTAATTAATAAAATCATATTTTTTATAATATTCAATATCTATATTTATTTTTATTTTTTAAAGCTTGATTTTAATTTCAAATTAATTATAAAAACTAAAATTAAAATAATAAAAAATATAAATACAGAAAAAGAGTAAAGACAAATTGTATAATGTTTTAAAAATAAATTTTCATTAAGGTTTAATCAATTCTGTAGTGAAATATTTGTGTAATTGAAATATTTATATAAAAACATTCATAAATATTATAATAAAAAATACAATTTTAAATATGTACATAAATTCACTTTAAAATAATTAAACACTAAAAAATTCTCTTTTAATAAAAAATAAGTTTATTATTCTTAATTATTTTTTCTCGTCAATCTAATAATTATTAAGGAGGTACCGTATATCCGGGAAATATCCGATATTTGGTAATATCAGGTATATTTTTATTAGTCAGCCGGATATCAATATCCGATAATATATCCAATGGAAATTTTATGTTGATATTACTAATAGTTTGCGTCTTTAATGAAAAAATGTATTTTTTTCAGCTGAATTTTTTGTACAAGTCATATCTCCCTCTCTCACCCCTCTTATCCTCTCCTCTTCTCCCCCTTCACTCTTTTTCTCTTTTTATTTTCACGTTGAGCAGATAAAGAAAATTATTATCTATTTCTTGGTAGCCTTTTCAGATAATCGACAGGATATCCGGTGAAATTCCAGAATCCGGTTGGATAATTGCCCTATCGGATATTCGATATCGGAAAAGAATTTGACGGATATCTCCGATATTCGATGTTCAGTGCATCCCTAATAATTATATAATTACATATAATTTTGTTATTTTAAATATTATATTTAAGTATACAATAAATATTTTTGATTTTTTAATTTTGTATCTTTTTAATTATAATAATAAATTGAACTTTAAATTTTAGAGTAGATAAATATATGAAAAACATCTTTGCAAAGATTTTTAAGATTCCTTATTAATTGTTTACATATAATATTAAAAAAAATTTCAATTTGAAAACTAAAGAAACTTATAGAAATAAGACAAATTTTAAACTAATTTTATTTATTAATCTTCGAATATCACAAATAATATCAAGATCGTCAACAGGCGAAATCTGAAGTGAGACGTACGTACATTCGGTTGAATCCTGCGTCCTTGCGCATGTGAACTTGAAGAGATGAAACTCTCAAACAGCTGTTTTTAGGTATCTACTATGATTTCGCAGATATAACGCGCAAAATGCTTGAATGTGATGCATATTCAGTAATATTTTTTTTTTCAATAACAACACTCAGGTAGAATCTTCAAAATTTTCTTATACTACAATCTTAAGCGGCGATCAGGCACCGTCGTTACGCTTCTAATATCTAATTGTTTCCTTAATTAATACCGTCGACAA